GTGGGTCCCTGACCCCTGAGTAGCCTAACTGGGAGACATCCCCCACTAGGGGCAGTCTGACACCCCACACCTCACAGGGTGGAGTACACCCCTGAGAGGAAGATTCCAAAGCAAGAATCAGACAGGTACACTCGCTGTTCAGAAATATTCTATCTTCTGCAGCCTCTGCTGCTGACACCCAGGCAAACAGGGTCTGGAGTGGACCTCAAGCAATCTCCTACAGCTACAACCTACAGCTGAGGATCCTGACTGTTAGAAGGAAAGCTATCAAACAGGAAGGACACCTACACCAAAACCCCATCAGTACATCACCATCATCAAAGACCAGAGGCAGATAAAACCACAAAGATGGGGAAAAAGCAGGGCAGAAAAGCTGGAAATTCAAAAAATAAGAGCGCATCTCCCCCGGCAAAGGAGCGCAGCTCATCGCCAGCAACGGATCAAAGCTGGACGGAGAATGACTTCAACGAGATGAGAGAAGAAGGCTTCAGTCCATCAAATTTCTCAGAGCTAAAGGAGGAATTACGTACCCAGCGCAAAGAAACTAAAAATCTTGAAAAAAAAGTGGAAGAATTGATGGCTAGAGTAATTAATGCAGAGAAGCTCACAAACGAAATGAAAGAGACGAAAACCATGGCACGAGAAATACGTGACAAATGCACAAGCTTCAGTAACCGACTCGATCAACTGGAAGAAAGAATGTCAGCGATTGAGGATCAAATGAATGAAATGAAGCGAGAAGAGAAACCAAAAGAAAAAAGAAGAAAAAGAAATGAACAAAGCCTGCAAGAAGTATGGGATTATGTAAAAAGACCAAATCTACGTCTGATTGGGGTGCCTGAAAGTGAGGGGGAAAATGGAACCAAGTTGGAAAACACTCTTCAGGATATCATCCAGGAGAACTTCCCCAACCTAGTAGGGCAGGCCAACATTCAAATCCAGGAAATACAGAGAACGCCACAAAGATACTCCTCGAGAAGAGCAACTCCAAGACACATAATAGCCAGATTCACCAAAGTTGAAATGAAGGAAAAAATCTTAAGGGCAGCCAGAGAGAAAGGTCGGGTTACCCACAAAGGGAAGCCCATCAGACTAACAGCAGATCTCTCAGCAGAAACTCTTCAAGCCAGAAGAGAGTGGGGGCCAATATTCAACATTCTTAAAGAAAAGAATTTTAAACCCAGAATTTTATATCCAGCCAAACTAAGTTTCATAAGTGAAGGAGAAATAAAATCCTTTACAGATAAGCAAATGCTTAGAGATTTTGTCACCACTAGGCCTGCCTTACAAGAGACCCTGAAGGAAGCACTAAACATGGAAAGGAACAACCGGTACCAGCCATTGCAAAAACATGCCAAAATGTAAAGACCATCAAGGCTAGGAAGAAACTGCATCAACTAACGAGCAAAATAACCAGTTAATATCATAATGGCAGGATCAAGTTCACACATAACAATCTTAACCTTAAATGTAAATGGACTAAATGCTCCAATTAAAAGACACAGACTGGCAAACTGGATAAAGAGTCAAGACCCATCAGTCTGCTGTATTCAGGAGACCCATCTCACATGCAGAGACATACATAGGCTCAAAATAAAGGGATGGAGGAAGATTTACCAAGCAAATGGAGAACAAAAAAAAGCGGGGGTTGCAATACTAGTCTCTGATAAAACAGACTTTAAACCATCAAAGATCAAAAGAGACAAAGAAGGCCATTACATAATGGTAAAGGGATCAATTCAACAGGAAGAGCTAACTATCCTAAATATATATGCACCCAATACAGGAGCACCCAGATTCATAAAGCAAGTCCTTAGAGACTTACAAAGAGACTTAGACTCCCATACAATAATAATGGGAGACTTCAACACTCCACTGTCAACATTAGACAGATCAACGAGACAGAAAGTTAACAAGGATATCCAGGAATTGAACTCATCTCTGCAGCAAGCAGACCTAATAGACATCTATAGAACTCTCCACCCCAAATCAACAGAATATACATTCTTCTCAGCACCACATCGTACTTACTCCAAAATTGACCACGTAATTGGAAGTAAAGCACTCCTCAGCAAATGTACAAGAACAGAAATTATAACAAACTGTCTCTCAGACCACAGTGCAATCAAATTAGAACTCAGGACTAAGAAACTCAATCAAAACTGCTCAACTACATGGAAACTGAACAACCTGCTCCTGAATGACTACTGGGTACATAACGAAATGAAGGCAGAAATAAAGATGTTCTTTGAAACCAATAAGAACAAAGATACAACATACCAGAATCTCTGGGACACATTTAAAGCAGTGTGTAGAGGGAAATTTATAGCACTAAATGCCCACAAGAGAAAGCAGGAAAGATCTAAAATTGACACTCTAACATCGCAATTAAAAGAACTAGAGAAGCAAGAGCAAACACATTCGAAAGCTAGCAGAAGGCAAGAAATAACTAAGATCAGAGCAGAACTGAAGGAGATAGAGACACAAAAAACCCTCCAAAAAATCAATGAATCCAGGAGTTGGTTTTTTGAAAAGATCAACAAAATTGATAGACCACTAGCAAGACTAATAAAGAAGAAAAGAGAGAAGAATCAAATCGACGCAATTAAAAATGATAAAGGGGATATCACCACCGACCCCACAGAAATACAAACTACCATCAGAGAATACTATAAACACCTCTACGCAAATAAACTGGAAAATCTAGAAGAAATGGATAATTTCCTGGACACTTACACTCTTCCAAGACTAAACCAGGAAGAAGTTGAATCCCTGAATAGACCAATAGTAGGCTCTGAAATTGAGGCAATAATTAATAGCCTACCAACCAAAAAAAGTCCAGGACCAGATGGATTCACAGCTGAATTCTACCAGAGGTACAAGGAGGAGCTGGTACCATTCCTTCTGAAACTATTCCAATCAATAGAAAAAGAGGGAATCCTCCCTAACTCATTTTATGAGGCCAACATCATCCTGATACCAAAGCCTGGCAGAGACACAACAAAAAAAGAGAATTTTAGACCAATATCCCTGATGAACATCGATGCAAAAATCCTCAATAAAATACTGGCAAACTGGATTCAGCAGCACATCAAAAAGCTTATCCACCATGATCAAGTGGGCTTCATCCCTGGGATGCAAGGCTGGTTCAACATTCACAAATCAATAAACATAATCCAGCATATAAACAGAACCAAAGACAAGAACCACATGATTATCTCAATAGATGCAGAAAAGGCTTTTGACAAAATTCAACAGCCCTTCATGCTAAAAACGCTCAATAAATTCGGTATTGATGGAACGTACCTCAAAATAATAAGAGCTATTTATGACAAACCCACAGCCAATATCATACTGAATGGGCAAAAACTGGAAAAATTCCCTTTGAAAACTGGCACAAGACAGGGATGCCCTCTCTCACCACTCCTATTCAACATAGTGTTGGAAGTTCTGGCTAGGGCAATCAGGCAAGAGAAAGAAATCAAGGGGATTCAGTTAGGAAAAGAAGAAGTCAAATTGTCCCTGTTTGCAGACGACATGATTGTATATTTAGAAAACCCCATTGTCTCAGCCCAAAATCTCCTTAAACTGATAAGCAACTTCAGCAAAGTCTCAGGATACAAAATTAATGTGCAAAAATCACAAGCATTCTTATACACCAGTGACAGTCAAACAGAGAGCCAAATCAGGAATGAACTTCCATTCACAATTGCTTCAAAGAGAATAAAATACCTAGGAATCCAACTTACAAGGGATGTAAAGGACCTCTCAAGGAGAACTACAAACCACTGCTCAGTGAAATAAAAGAGGACACAAACAAATGGAAGAACATACCATGCTCATGGATAGGAAGAACCAATATCGTGAAAATGGCCATACTGCCCAAGGTAATTTATAGATTCAATGCCATCCCCATCAAGCTACCAATGAGCTTCTTCACAGAATTGGAAAAAACTGCTTTAAAGTTCATATGGAACCAAAAAAGAGCCCGCATCTCCAAGACAATCCTAAGTCAAAAGAACAAAGCTGGAGGCATCACGCTACCTGACTTCAAACTATACTACAAGGCTACAGTAACCAAAACAGCATGGTACTGGTACCAAAACAGAGATATAGACCAATGGAACAGAACAGAGTCCTCAGAAATAATACCACACATCTACAGCCATCTGATCTTTGACAAACCTGAGATAAACAAGAAATGGGGAAAGGATTCCCTAGTTAATAAATGGTGCTGGGAAAATTGGCTAGCCATAAGTAGAAAGCTGAAACTGGATCCTTTCCTTAATCCTTATACGAAGATTAATTCAAGATGGATTAGAGACTTAAATGTTAGACCTAATACCATAAAAATCCTAGAGGAAAACCTAGGTAGTACCATTCAGGACATAGGCATGGGCAAAGACTTCATGTCTAAAACACCAAAAGCAACGGCAGCAAAAGCCAAAATTGACAAATGGGATCTAATTAAACTAAAGAGCTTCTGCACAGCAAAAGAAACTACCATCAGAGTGAACAGGCAACCTACAGAATGGGAGAAAATTTTTGCAATCTACTCATCTGACAAAAGGCTAATATCCAGAACCTACAAAGAACTCAAACAAATTTACAAGAAAAAAACAAACAACCCCATCAAAAAGTGGGCAAAGGATATAAACAGACATTTCTCAAAAGAAGACATTCATACAGCCAACAGACATATGAAAAAATGCTCATCATCACTGGCCATCAGAGAAATGCAAATCAAAACCACAATGAGATACCATCTCACACCGGTTAGAATGGCGATCATTAAAAAGTCAGGAAACAACAGGTGCTGGAGAGGATGTGGAGAAATAGGAACACTTTTACACTGTTGGTGGGATTGTAAACTAGTTCAACCATTATGGAAAACAGTATGGTGATTCCTCAAGGATCTAGAACTAGATGTACCATATGACCCAGCCATCCCATTACTAGGTATATACCCAAAGGATTATAAATTATGCTGCTATAGGTCACCAGCTCGCGCCGGCGGTAGGTGAGGACGCCAACAGCAGCCGAGAAACGTTTCTCTTTCCTCTCAGCTTGCGCACACGATGGCGGCCCCCGCCCAGTCGACTACGCAGCCTGGCGGTGGGAAGCGCAAAGGCAAGGCTCAGTATGTGCTGGCCAAGCGCGCTCGGCGCTGCGACGCTGGCGGGCCCGGTCAGCTAGAGCCCGGGCTACAGGGCATCCTCATCACCTGCAACATGAACGAGCGCAAGTGCGTGGAAGAGGCCTACAGCCTGCTCAACGAATACGGCGACGACATGTATGGGCCAGAAAAGTTTACAGACAAGGATCAGCAGCCCTCTGGAAGTGAGGGAGAGGATGATGATGTGGAGGCTGCCTTGAAGAAAGAAGTTGGTGACATTAAGGCATCTACAGAGTTGAGGCTAAGAAGATTCCAGTCAGTGGAAAGTGGAGCAAATAACGTCGTCTTCATCAGGACACTTGGGATAGAACCTGAGAAATTGGTGCATCATATTCTCCAGGATATGTACAAAACCAAGAAGAAGAAGACTCGAGTTATTCTACGAATGTTACCGATCTCAGGCACATGCAAGGCTTTTTTAGAAGATATGAAAAAATATGCACAAACATTTTTGGAACCCTGGTTTAAAACTCCTAACAAAGGGACATTTCAAATTGTGTACAAATCTCGAAATAACAGTCACGTGAATAGAGAAGAAGTTATCAGAGAATTGGCAGGAATAGTGTGCACCCTCAATTCAGAAAATAAAGTGGATCTCACCAATCCACAGTATACGGTGGTAGTAGAAATCATCAAAGCTGTCTGTTGCCTGAGTGTTGTGAAAGATTACATGTTGTTTAGAAAATACAATCTCCAGGAGGTGGTGAAGAGCCCTAAGGATCCATCACAGCTTAACTCAAAGCAAGGAAATGGGAAAGAAGCTAAATTGGAATCTGCTGACAAATCAGACCAAAACAACACAGCAGAAGGAAAAAATAACCAGCAGGTACCGGAGAATACTGAGGAGCTGGGGCAGACAAAACCAACGTCTAATCCGCAGGTGGTAAATGAGGGAGGAGCCAAACCTGAACTTGCAAGTCAAGCCACAGAAGGATCCAAGTCAAATGAAAATGACCTCCCATAGGAAGTCATTCGGTGTTGGAGGTGGGTTTCTTACCTGGGGCTCTCTGAGATGTTGCTGGGGTTTTACCTTAAATTGTGACTTAAAAACAGTTTTTTATTTGTGTGCTGCATTATGCTGTTCTCACAGTAGTGAACAATGATTGCGCAGCCCTGTTAACAGTTTTGTTAGGGATCTTTCAGCCCTTATGGTATTATGTAGAGGCAGATCCATGTGCTGCTATTGCAAAGAGGGGAGGATAGGAGGAGGCGGATGTTGACCTCTCCCAGGCTCCTCTTCTGCAGTGCCAGCTGACTTATGGGAGTGAACTGACTGTGAAGTAGAAAATCAGAGGGAAGTTTTCATTCTAAGGAAGGCGTTTTTACATGCCACAGCTCAGCTGTCCCGCTGCCACTTTGTTGTAAACATTGCAAAAATGTGGATCATGTAGGTTAGAAGTGAATTGTTTAGTGACGTTTTTGTACTTTTGTGATTTTCTTGTTTATGTCTGTTTTTATTTTTTTATTTTTATTTTTTAACATTTGTGTGTAACAAAGTTGACAGTCCAGTGCCGCAATTTTGGAAGGCAAGATATGAGAGAGGAGAACCATTTAGGCATAGAGCTACAGACATTTCTGAAAAGGTTGGTGATGAAGAATTTCAGTCTTCTGAGTATACTTCAGTATACTAGTGCAACAAGGGACACAAAGAAATTCTGTCTTTATAATGAAAGCTACTTCTCAAGGGTTTTATATGGACTCAGTCCAAGCTGTCCTATCCTATTGTGCACTGTCTGTGGCATGCAACTTATAAAACTAGTAATTGTAACTAAATCACAGCCACTTGACAAGAAAGGATATTCTTTATTTTCAAATGGCTTTTAGACTGTCAAAACAAAAACAGTAAGGCTTTTGTTCAGAAATCACATTTAGTCAAAAGGTTTAAGAAGCAGATTATTTAGTAGCAGAACTTATCTCAGGAAAGGAAAATATGCATAGTTGGTGAGAATCTAATAACATTAAAATGCTGGGGCAAGATGCAGTACAAAATTGAAAAGACTTTATTTTCTCAGTAAGTTGATTTACTGATGATATCTCATATGATGCAAAAAAGGTTTTGTGTCGTTAACTGAAAAGTGGCAGCTTCTCTATCCAGGATGATGAGTCAACAGGTTTCACTAATACTTGTCATGCTGTAGCATTTGTAAGATTTATAAATGATGAAATTCAAAGAAAACTTTTTCTTTTGCTAGGAGCCTGCCAAAACAAAGGCCAATGTATAATGTTGTGACATCATATCTGATAACCAGAGGTTTGTTATCTATACTTCTGGTGCCCCATCAGTGGTTGTCTCCATAAGTCATTTTGCATTATTAAAAAAGAAATCCTGATGTTGACATTATAGCACACTGCTTTCTTCACAGAGATGCTGATATCAAAAACTTGAAGATACAGTGACGTTTTGAATAATGTTACAAAACTGGTTACCTATGTCAAAGACCCATTTATGCAAAAATGTTTAAAAAGAAAAAAAAACACCCAAAAGAAAAACCTGGACAAACAGCACATAAACCTCCCGCACCATACAGACATCCATTGGCTTGTCAGAGGAAGAGTTCTCTACAGGATATTTGAATTGAAAGGTGAATTACCAGAGTACTTACAAGAAAACAGCCAGCTTTTGCTGAGTGCTTTGGAAATGAAAAATGGCTACAGGAACTAGCCTATTTTGCAGACGTTTTTCATCACATGAACACATGGACAAGTCTCTGAAAGGTTCAGGGGAAAATTTTTTTTCTTAAAGTGGCAAGAGTCCTAGATCTAAAAGGAAACTGACTTGCCACCTTGCCAGAGGAATGCTTGAAATGTTTCTGCAGCCACTTGGACTTGAAAATGAAGGGTACAACTCTCAAATCCTCTCTAACCCAACTGGAGGAACCACAAGACCCAATGAAATAGCATTTTCTCTCCTTTTCCCAGCACTAGTATATAACTGTATGAGGAACCCTTGTCTATGAATCTGCTCAGCTTGAAATTTTGTCTCTGAAGGAAGAGAATGAACTCAGCCCTAGTCTGACAGTCCTAAATTTCTGTGAAATGAGAGTATTCTTCAAGTTAATGCTCACATTCACATACCATGAGGGTTCTCTGCAGGGGTTTCCTGAATTTCAAAGTTTTTTCAAGGCCTATTTTTGGATAAAACAATTGAAAAGGCAGACACCAACAAAGTCTGCAAAGTAAACTGTCCAGATTAAGAATATTAAGAAGCTGTAAAGTTAGCTTGTAGAAATGGGCTTATCCTTAAGTTTTATAGTTAGGAATTGCTAAAAATGTTAGGGTTCCCGCACAAGTGGCTATGTTTATTTAATGGCTAGTGAACATGGGAATATATTTTTATCCTAGCTAGTGGTTCTATTTGGCAAACTAGACTAGAATGATTTGAGAGGGGTAAAGAAAATAGGCAGGACCTTCCTTCTGTAGCTTACATATTTCGAATGTTAATTCTTAATGACATTGAAGTTACTTTGAAATGATTGATAAGAGGATTATTAATATCATTTAGGGGAATAGAGAGGATAGGATTTTGGTGCCTTCTTCAGCAGACTTGCTCCAAGACAAAGATTCTATTTTGATAGTACAAGACAAAAGGACTCGGAAAAAAACTGGCCATATGCCTACAGAACATACAACTCTGTGGAACTAAATTGTTTTTACTTTGTGAAAGCTGCTACTTTACGGAAAGATTTTGATTTTATAGTTTTGTTTTTAATTGCCTTTTATATTTATTTGTATTTGATAAGACTCAGTTGTTATACAAACTATTCTTTCCCAGTTACAGAATCCTGTGTTCGGTTGTAACCTGAACTCATTAAAATACTTGTTTTCAGGTTTATCAACTGTTTATTTTCACTGACATTTGAGCATGTTATTTTATAAATGACGAGATTCCAGAGTAGGAAGTAAGTGCTTTTTATTCCCCTTTTGTTTTTTCTTTTAAAAAATTACATCAGTTAAAAAAAAAAACTGCAGTCTTGTCATTTAGAAAATGTTTAGTTCCATAGAGGAAAGAATGTTAAACTTTGTATTTTAAAACATGATTCTCTAAGGTTAAACATGGTTTTCAAATGTTATTTTTACTTGTATTTTGCTTTTGGTACAGCCAGATATCAAGCTTGTTTTTCATAGTTCTGATATTTTTAGAAAAATCAAAATAAATTTGTTCCCTAAAAAAAAAAAAAATAAAAAATAAAAAAAATAAATAAATTATGCTGCTATAAAGACACATGCACACGTATGTTTATTGCAGCACTATTCACAATAGCAAAGACTTGGAATCAACCCAAATGTCCATCAGTGACAGATTGGATTAAGAAAATGTGGCACATATACACCATGGAATACTATGCAGCCATAAAAAAGGATGAGTTTGTGTCCTTTGTAGGGACATGGATGCAGCTGGAAACCGTCATTGTCAGCAAACTATCACAAGAACAGAAAACCAAACACCGCATGTTCTCACTCATAGGCGGGAACTGAACAATGAGATCACTTGGACTCGGGAAGGGGAACATCACACACCGGGGCCTATCATGGGGAGGGGGAAGGGGGGAGGGATTGCATTGGGAGTTATACCTGATGTAAATGACGAGTTGATGGGTGCAGCACACCAACATGGCACAAGTATACATATGTAGCAAACCTGCACGTTGTGTACATGTACCCTACAACTTGAAGTTTAATAATAATAAATAAATTTAAAAAAAAAAGAAAATATTATAGGAACTATAGTATTCTAGACACTATATTAAAGAATAAAGAAAGATCAATAAACACAACCCCTGCCCGCAAAAAAAAAAAAAAAAAAAAGAAAAAAATGGAGATTATCCTGCATAAGCCAGGAGACCCCAGTGTAATCACAAGGTTTTAAAATGTGAAAGAGAAAGAAGAGGAGAAAAGGTGGAGCGATACAATGTAAGAATACAACCCATTGTCACTGGCTCTGGAGATAAAGAAAAAGGGTCAGCAGCCAAGAAACAGGGTGGCCTTGTGAGGCTGGAAATACCAAGGATAAGGATTCTCCCTGGGAGCCTTGAGAAAGAAATGCACTTCTGCCAATATTTTGATTTTAGCTCAGCAAGACCCATTTTGAATTTAGGAATGATAAAATGTAATTTGTGTTGTTTTAAGCCATTGAATTTGTGGTAAGTGGTTACAGCACCGTAGGCAATGAATACAGGCTTGGGAAGGAGTTCTCCTGCGCTGCTGCCTGAAGCTGGAAGCTTCCATTGCAGCTCCCATCTGACCTGCTATCTCCACACTGGCGCTAGCTACTCAGACGTGGCTAGTGTCACCAGCCCGTCTCTATGATTTTCTCTTCCTAACTCTTTCTGTGGATACTTGGTCTCTTTCTGCCCCTACCTCTTTGGCCAGCTTTAAAAACAGAAGATGGACAGAACCTGGTCAGCTTTTATCTCCTTAGGTGAAGGACAGAGTTTTAGACTTGAAATAGCTCTATGTTTTACTCCTAAGTGGAGCAGGTATGCATTTTCTGAATCAGACTGTCATCTGGACAGGGCTTTCTCTGCAAAAGTCCCCAGGCTTTCGTATGTCTACATCAGCTAAACATGTTTTCTCCAGACTTCTGGTAATCACAAGTATCTGGTAATCACAAGAGATGCCCTAATTGCCCCCAAGTCATTTTTGAAAGACACTGATACCCAAGTCTGTGGACTGATCAGATATTCCACCAACCTCAGTTGTAATCCTGACTATATGAATTCTGTCCTCAAGACATGTCTTTGCCATTGTCCTATCCCACTGACACATCCTAGGGATGAGGTCCAGTCACCTGGTTAATTAGAAAGAGCCTTAACTCTGGGTAGGGTAGGACTCCCCTTCTGAATGTGATGGATCAGTTAAGATCAGGCTCCCTCCCTCCTGGATCAAAGCCTTTACTTGTCAAAGGAGTGTATTAGAGAATGAGGATAATGAGGGATGAAGGAAGCGGCACTTTTGAACATAACATTCCAGTCCCTCTACTTTTCAATCCCAGGTCTTATTTTAGGGTCAATGGACTAGGTTACTTCATATAAAATTCCATCCATCTGCAAACCAAACATGACTCAATGTTTTAATTTGGTCTTGATGAAGTTGCCCCTTGTCTCTGAGTTCTGACCACAGATGATAGTTCCCCCTACCTGAGTGAAATGTCCACCCTCTGTCCCCATGCACCACTCTTCCAGCAGTTCTGGCAAGTTGGTCAATGCTCAGTAGCTTCAGTCCAGGCTCCCTTTGGAGATGATTTTGTTCCATAGGACTTTTTAGTATTTGGATGAAACAGTCATTCCTTGGAGAAGGGCAAGTGTTTTACCTTGGGCCTCCTGATCCTGTATTTCTAATAACTGCATCTTCCACACACACACTCCTAATATGGGTGAAAGAAACCATCCAAACTCCAAATCTATACATGGAAGTCTTCCTTCTTGTAGGCAGACCTGTCTTGCAGCTAGGAGCATCTGAACTCAGCTTCCTTTGCCATCAACCCTTGCCTCATGCCCAGCTACAAAAGGGGTTACTAGAGTAGCTGTGATTTATGCCGATTATTACTTCTTTTATTTGTTCCTCTTGGAATATTATAGGAAAGTATTGGTGAGAGCTAATTGTTAAGCTTTGAGAAGGGAGGATAATCTTGTCGATGTCCCCTGCTTAATAGGTAGCCAGTGGAAATTTGTGTGTCTTTTGTATTAGGAACTTTCATCTGGAAAAAGGATGGGATGGAGGCTGCCCAGCGAAAAGGGTGGAGTAGATGATTTCTATGTAGACCTCCAGCACCACTTACCACTCACTACTTGATTTGTGCCTTTTCTAACATGCTCGTGCTCCCAAAGGCTGACCTATGGAGACTACATGGGGACTACTCAGCAGGCTCCCTTATCCTCAGACTTCTAGGTGGTGTTGATTAATGGGTGAACGCAAGGAGGAGGGCTGAGAACAATAGCAGAGTGAAGCAGAGGATTTCACTCCCCAGGTCCCTCCCCAAAAGGTTGCCTCTATCTAAAGCCAGCACTCCCATGGGTGGTGCCTCTTCTATAAGCCGGTGCTCCAGCTCTGTATCTGCTCCTTGCTGCTCCCCAACCCCAGGCCCAAGTGGGTAACATCTCCCCAGCTGAACCTATCTTTATGAGTTTTCCGCACCCTGAACCATGCCATTGTAAACAGCCCATTATTAAATTTTCCTTAGTTAACCCTTGTGGATGTCATCTGTCTCCTACTGGGACCCTAACTGATTCGCAGTCATTTCCAACGTGGCAGGTCAGTGATTTTTTCCTTGCTAGATATAGATACTTATTCTGGACATGAATTTTTCTTCTTTGATTATTAAGCTTTTTCAAGCATCAGCATCTGTGAATTTATACAGTGCCTTATTTACTGCCATTGGACACCACTTTATGTTGCTTCTGATCAGGGAATCTCTTTTACAAGAATACAAGTCGAGGTTGGGTGCAGTGGCTCGTGCCTGTAATCC